TGGTCAGCCTCTTCCCCCTGCCGCTGTTACCGCCCAGTGGGCTCATGAACAAAGTGGCCATGAAGGCAAGCATGAAGCTTATTCGTGGGCTCACACGATAGACTTTTACTCGCCATCCTGGCTACAGCTGCTCTCAGTGACCGATCTGCCAGCAGCCGGGACCAGCCCTGAGCCCCAGATATTCCCCATTCCCTGGGGTGATGAGCCAGCCACCCCGTGACAGGTTGACAACATGGGACCACTTCCGTCTCAGCAGGGGCGGCATTTTGTCCTCACTGGAGCAGACGCTTGCTCTAGATCGGGATTTGCCTTACCTGCATGCCATGCTCCTGCCAGATCTCCCGTGTCTGCGGACTCACAGGATGCCTCACCTGCTGTCAGGGTACACCACACAGCATTGCTTCTGACCAAGGAACCCACTTCTCAGCAAAGAAAGCATGGCTGTGAACCCATGCCCATGGACTCACTGCTAAAAACGTCCTAAAGGGCCGGGCGTGGTGGCTCACGCCTGTAATCCAAGCACTTTGGAGGCCAAGGCAGGCAGATGACCTGAGGTCAGGAGTTCCAGACCAGCCTGATCAACATGGTGAAACCCCGTCTTTAAAAATAAATAAATAGGCCGAGCGCGGTGGCTCATGCCTGTAATCCCAGCACTTTGGGAGGCCGAGGCGGGTGGATCACGAGGTCAAGAGATCGAGACCATCCTGGTCAACATGGTGAAACCCCGTCTCTACTAAAAATACAAAAAATTAGCTGGGCGTGGTGGCACGTGCCTGTAATCCCAGCTACTCAGGAGGCTGAGGCAGGAGAATTGCCTGAACCCAGGAGGCGGAGGTTGTGGTGAGCCGAGATCACACCCATTGCACTCCAGCCTGGGTAACAAGAGTGAAACTCCGTCTTAAAAAAAATAAAAATAAAAATAAATAAATAAATAAAATAAAAACGTCCTAAGTGCTCTTACCATCTGCCCACCATCTTGAAGCAGCTGGTTTGATAGAATAGTGGGATGGCCTTTGGAAGACTCCATTGCAGCACCGGCTGGGTGGCAAGGCCTTGGAGGGCTGGGGCAGAGTTCTCCAGGAGGCAGTATTTGCTCTGAGTCCAAATGGAGTATAGGGTGCTGTTTCTCCCACAGCCAGGATTCATGGGTTCAGGAATCGAGGGGTGGCAGTGAGAGTGGCACCAGTCGCTAGTATCTCTAGTGCCCCAGCAGCACGAAGTTTGCTTCCTGTTTCTGTGACCTTCTGCTCTGCTGGCCTAGGGGTCTTATTTCCAAATGGAGGAATGCTTCCCCCAGGAGACTCCGCCGTGATGCCACTGAACTTCCAGTGAAGACTCCTGCTGGGCCCATTTGGCCTCCCACTGCCTCTGAATCAACAGACAGATGAGAGAGGTTCTGTGCGGCGAGGGTGGTCGGTCCTAGATTGGACCACGAGTCCACGACTGAGGTGAGCAAGGGTATGTCCGTTGTAGAGGGGGTCCTGCAGGGTGTCTCCTAGTGGACCACGGCCTATGACTTGGGCAATGGAAAACCACAATAGTTCAATCCAGGCAGGACTACCAAGGGCCCAGACCTTTCAGGAATGAAGATTTGGGTCACTCACCAGGAAAAGACCACAACCCGCTGAGGAGCTTACTGAAAGCAAAGGGAATACATATTGGGTAGTGAAAGAAGGTCATTATAAATACCAGCCATGGCAGGCACAGCGGCTCAATCCCAGCACTTTGGGAGGCCAGGTGGGTGGACCACCTGAGGTCAGGAGTTCAAGACCAGCCTGACCAACATGGTGAAGCCCTGTCTCTACTAAAAATACAAAAAACTGGCCGGGCGCGGTGGCTCAAGCCTGTAATCCCAGCACTTTGGGAGGCCGAGGCGGGTGGATCACGAGGTCAAGAGATCGAGACCATCCTGGTCAACATGGTGAAACCCCGTCTCTACTAAAAATACTAAAAATTAGCTGGGCATGGTGGCGTGTGCCTGTAATCCGAGCTACTCAGGAGGCTGAGGCAGGAGAATTGCCTGAACCCAGGAGGTGGCGGTTGCGGTGAGCCGAGATCGCGCCATTGCACTCCAGCCTGGGTAATAAGAGGGAAACTCCGTCTCAAAAAAAAAAACAAAAACAACACTAACCAGGTCTGGTGGTGGGTGCCTGTAATTCCAGCCACTCATGAGGCTGAGGCAGGAGAATAGCTTGTACCGGGGAGGAAGAGGTTGCAGTGAGCCAAGATCCTGCCATTGCACTCCAGCCTGGGCCACAAGAGCAAAAGTCCATCTCAAAAAAAACACCCTAATATCACAATAAAGTGAGTCACAAATTTTTTGGTTTTCCAGTGCATATAAAGTTATGATTAGGCTGGTGCAGTGGTTTCTGCCTGTAATCCAGCACTTTCGGAGGCTGAGCCAGGTAGATCACTTGAGGTCAGGAGTTCAAGACCAGCCTGGCCAACATGGTGAAACCCCATCTCTACTAAAAATACAAAAATTAGCTGGGCGTGGTGGCACACGCCTGTAATCCCAGCTACTTGGAGACTGAGGCAGGAGGAGTGCTTGAACCCGGGAGGTGGAGGTTGCGATGAGCTGAGATCATGCCACTGCACTCCAGCCTGGGTGACAGAGCAAGACTCCATTATGTTTGCACAGCACTATAAGCTATTAAGTGTGCAGTAGCATTACGTCCAGAAAAGAATGCATAAAACTCCCTTAAAATAGTTTGTTGCTAAAAGATGCTAATGCTCATTTAAGCCTTCAGCAAGTTGCTTCGGTGTTGACAGCTGGTGGTGACTGATCAGGATGGTGGTGGTTGCTGAAGGTTGGGTGGCTTTGGCAAAAGTTCTTAAAATCAGCCAGCAGGCTGGGCGCGGTGGCTCACACCTGTAATCCCAGCACTTTGGGAGGCCAAGGCAGGCAGATCATGAGGTCAAGAGATTGAGACCATCCTGGCCAACCCCATCTCTACTAAAACACAAAAATTAGCTGGGCGTGGTGGCACGCACCTGTAGTCCCAGCTACTCTGGGGGCTGAGGCAGGAGAATTGCTTGAACCCGGGAGGTGGAAGTTGCAGTGAGCTGAGATCGCGCCACTGCACTCCAGCCTGGCACCTGGCAACAGAGCAAGGCTCTGTCTCAAAAAAAGAAAAAGAAAAGAAATCAGACAGCAGTGAAGTGTGCCAGATCCACTGGCTCTCACTTTCATGAAAGATTTATCTGTAGCGTGTGACATTGTTTGATAACAACAGTAGGACTTTTTTCAAAATTTGGAGTCACAACTTAGTTGATGTGATGTTCTAAGTCCCTTGCTGTCATTTCAACAGTGTTCACAGCATCTTCCCAAGGAACAGAACCCGTCTCAGGAAAGCACTGTCTTTGCTCAGCTACAGGAAGCAAGTCCTCATGGGTTCCAGTTTGATCATGAGATTGCAGCAGTCTCAGCCACACCTTCAGGCTCCACCTCTAACTCTAGTTTGCTCATTGTTTCTACCATGTCTGCACTTTTTTTTTTTTTTTTTTTTTGAGATGGAGTTTCGCTCTCGTTGCCCAGGCTGGAGTGCAATGGCACAATCTCAGCTCGGTGCCAGGGTTCAAGCCATTCTCCTGCCTCAGCCTCCTGAGTAGCTGGGCTTACAGGCATGAGCCACTGTGCCTGGCCCACATCTGTACTTTCTTCCTTCACGGAAGACATGTGACGGTTGGAATCAACTTCTTCCAAACTCCTGTTAATGGTGATATTTTGACCTTCTCCCATGAGTTACGCATGATTTTTTTGTTGTTGTTGAGAATAGGTCTTGCTCTGTCACCCAGGCTGGAGAGCAGTGGTGCGGTCATAGCTGACTGCAGCCTCAACCTCCTGGGCTCAATCAATCCTCCCACCTCAGCCTCCTAAGTAGCTAGGATTGCAGACATATGCCACCATGCCAGCTAATATTTGTTGTTTTTGAGATAGGGTCATGCTCTGTCACCCATGCTGGAGTGCAGTGGCACAATCACGCTCACTGAAAGCCTCAACCTCCCGGGCTCAGTTTATCCTCCCACTTCAGCCTCTTGAGTTGCTGGGACCACAGATGCGTGCCACCACACCCGACTAATTTTTAGTAGATACAGGGTTTTGCCATGTTTCCTAAGCTGGTGTCGAACTCCTGAGCTGAAGCAATCCACCTGACCTGGCCTCCCAAAGTGCTAGATTACAGGCATGAGCCACCACACCTGGCCTACATCACGGGTGTTACTGTTTCTGAAGACCAAGGACTGATTTATGCATCTTAAAAGTGACAAATATTTATTCCGTGTGAATTTTGTATGACATCATGTGCCTTAGAATGCAATTTCTGAAGAGAAACTCTGTATTATGTCTGTTCTGTACAATACATGTTGAGGCTCATTCGTGTGTGTGTGTGTGTGTGTGTGTGTGTGTGTGTGTGTATTTGAGACAGAGTCTTGCTTTGTTGCCCAGGCTGGAGTGCAATGGCACGATCGTGGCTCATTGCAACCTCTGCCGCCCAGGTTTAAGCAATTCTCCTGCCTCAGCCTCCTGAGTAGCTAGGATTACAGGTAGGTGCCACCATGCCCAGCTAATTTTTTTGTATTTTAAGTACAGACAGGGTTTCTCCATGTTGATCAGACTGGTCTTACTCCTGACCTCAGGTGATCCACCTGCCTTGGCCTCCCAAAGTGCTGGGATTACAGGCATGAGCCTTTGCCCCTGGCCATTCATAAATATTTTGAAACAATAATTTTCATAATAGCCAAGTCAATTCATGTACCGTCACTAGCTAAACACCAGTGGGGCATTCTCCTTAAGTGTACTACATAAACAGAGAGTGATTTCTGTAAGCCAGAGGACACTGGCTAATTCTTCACAGGATGCCAAATGACTCTGTTTGGGCTTCTTGTAACACCCACTAGAATTATGATTTGGGGACCATTTCCATTGCAAATCCCCTCTTTCCACACCCCTTTAAAAGGCAGCTGCGATATTTGGCTTCTAACCAAGGCCTGCTGCATCCACAATTCTCTAAATTTTATTTATATTTCATGTGCATTCCCCAGGTGCCAGATGCTGGTTTGGACACATTCCAGTGGAAAGTGCTTTCCTGTAAAATCAGAAAAGCAAAATATGGAACAAACCTCCTTTTTATATCAGACCTCCACCACGTATACCAAAGTTAAGTATGCTGATATTTGTAGTCCCCCAAATTGCCTGCTCACTAGTGCCTTGTCCTTGGCTGTCATAGCATGTAAATGCTGATAGCCCCGTCATGTTTCTTTTTTATGAGAGGGAGTCTCGCCCTGCTGCCCAGGCTGGAGTGCAGTGGTGTGATCTTGGCCCATGGCAACCTTCACCTCCCGGGTTCAAGTGATTTTCCTGCCTCAGCCTCCTGAGTAGCTGGGATTACAGGTGCCCTCTACCACAGCTGGCTCAATTTTGTATTTTTAATAGAGTCAGGGTTTCTCCATGTTGGCCAGGCTGGTCTTGAACTCTCGACTTCAGGTGATCCTCCCACCTTGGCCTCCCAAAATGCTGGGATTACAAGTGTGAGCCACCGTGCCCAGCATATTCCTTTAGTTTTCATAATTTTTTTTTTTTTTTTTTTTTGAGACGGAGTTTCGCTCTCGTTACCCAGGCTGGAGTGCAATGGTGCGATCTCGGCTCACTGTAACCTCCACCTCCTGGGTTCAGGCAATTCTCCTGCCTCAGCCTCCTGAGTAGCTGGGATTACAGGCACGTGCCACCATGCCCAGCTAATGTTTTGTGTTTTTAGTAGAGATGGGGTTTCACCATGTTGACCAGGATGGTCTCGATCTCTCGACCTCGTGATCCACCCGCCTCGGCCTCCCAAAGTGCTGGGATTACAGGCTTGAGCCACCGCGCCCGGCCTAGTTTTCATAATTTTGAAAGTGTCTGAGTGTAGGAATCTCATGCTTTTTCAATAGTTCCTAATCTACCTACTCAATGCATGAACTTTTCAAATAGAATTTGGATGAGATGAAAAAACATTGTAACCCATTTACAAGATTTTAAAAGATACCGAGTAATTTAATATATATGATATGAGTAGCTTTAAGTGTTTTCACCAAGGGTGGGTGGTGGCTCATGCCTGTAATCCCAGAATTTTGGGAGGCTGAGGTTAGCAGATCACTTAAGGCCAGGAGTTCAATACCAGCCTGGCCAACATGGAGAAACCCCGCCTCTACTAAAAATACAAAAGTAGCCGGGCGAGGTGGCACCCGCCTGTAGTCCCACCTACTCGGGAGGCTGAGGCAGGAGAACTGCTTGAACCCAGAGGCACAGGTTACAGTGAGCCAGGATTCCGCCATTGCACTCCAGCCTGGATAACAAGAGCTAAACTCCCTTAAAAAAAAAAAAAAGTTTTCACTAAAAAGTGATGGTTTCTGTGTGTGTTTCATAATGACATTGTCTCTACAGTGACCGGACTTTCAGCATGAGTTTCCTCAGAATCAAGTGGGAAGCTGACTTTGCAGCAGGGCTCTAGCGTGCTTGAAGGCAGTCATCTGCGCCTAGGGTCTCAGCTGTGTCATGAGCGGTACGAGGAGGTGACTGAGAAAGCGGATATAATTTGTAGAGACGCCAGTCCACACTCGGCTTCCATCGCCACCTGCTTCCACCTGTTTTATACGGTAACATTTCGCCCCGCTGAAAACCCGTACCCTTCCTTCCTCTACCCTAGAAAAACGGAGAACCTACCATGTGAAAGCGTTTTTGTGCAGAAGGCTTGACGTTACATTCTGAGGTTTAAATTCGCTCCCGAACGGCGTCCTGTGGGGTGTGTGCACCTGGTGTCCCGCCGGGACCGTTTCTCAGCTGGAGTCCGCTCGGCCTCAGGGCTCACTCTGCCCTTCGGTGGCGGGGGACGCTCCGAAGCGGCGGGTTTGCATCCTCCACGTGGCCGGCCGGGACCTGCACCTGCTGCGCGCGGCTGTGGGAGCCGGAGGACCCGCCCGGGACCTCGGACCACCTGGTTCATCCAGTTTCTCCCTGAGCGCAGACAGCGTCCCGCCTGCGAGCAGGAAGAACAAATCCCTAGAAACGTCCTCAACGATCCACAAACCTGACCCGGCGCCCGAGCGGGTTCGGGAGCGCGGCCAGCGTGTTCCGGAGGCGCGCGGGACCCTTCGCGTCCATCTGAGGGGCTGACCCCCGGACCAATCCCCACGCTGCGACCCGCACCCCGCAGGTATCTGGGGGTTTGTTCTGCCTCCCGGGTTCCCGGCAGCCGGCTAGACCCACCGGAAGCGGCGAGGCGCCCTCGGCCCCCTTGGACCAGCTCAGAAACACCCGAAGTCCGTGTCCAGCCAGGACCGCCCCTGCAGGAGCACCCGGGCCCGTCAGCACCTGGGGGAAGAGGGGCGAGGCGAGCGGAACGAGGGGTCAGGGGGAAGCGGGGGGCACGAGGGGGCGGGGCGAACGAGGGGCGGGGCGAACGAGGGGGCGGGGCGGAGGCGGCAGGAGGGGCGGGGGAATGAAGGGGCGGGGCGCAGGCATGAGGGGGCGGGGGGACGGGGAGGTGGATGGGACGAGAGGCGGGGGCACGAGGGGGCGGGGCGGGGCCACGAGGGGGCGGGGCGGGGGCACGAGGGCGCTGGGCGGCGGGGGCGGGCTTTGTACAGGGAGGGAGGGGGAAAAGGCCGGGAAGAACAGGGCCGGAGTGAGGGGCTCCGCCGGGGGCCGGGGTCTCCGGGAGGTCTGGAGGGAATTTAGAATCGGGGGGTGGAGAGGAAATGGGGGCGGGGCTGCAGCCCGAGAAGCGCTGGCTCAGGGACTCTTCTCCTTTCTTCACGTCCGCCCAGGTTTTCCCGGGAGAGTGGGGTGTTGCAGGTCCGGCTTCTCTCCCGAGCGGTCACCCCGCATACCCGGCCAGCAGCTGCGGACGCGGCCGGCCGCAGAGGGGGCGTGACGCAGACCGGAGGGGCGTGGCGGGCAGAGGGGGCGTGGCGGAGGTCGGCGGAGGGGCGTGGAGCGGGCGGGCAAAGGGGCTGGCGCGGGCTGAGGGGGGCGTGGCGCGGGCGGGCGGAAGGGGCGCAGCGCAGGCGGAGGGGCGTGGCGCGGGCGGCCCTCGTGGGCGGGGCTCCGCTCTGCCCAGCGCCCGCCGCCGCCGCCGACGCCTCCGCCCGCCGCGCGGACTGAGGGAGACCGAGGGAGCCCGGGGGTCGCAGCCGCCTGCCCGGCCTGCGGTGGGCCAGGATGTCGGGCTTCCTGGAGGAGCTGCTGGGCGAGAAGCTGGTGACGGGCGGCGGCGAGGAGGTGGACGTGCACTCGCTGGGCGCCCGCGGCATCGCGCTCCTCGGGCTCTACTTCGGCTGCAGCCTGAGCGCCCCCTGCGCGCAGCTCAGCGCCAGCCTGGCCGCCTTCTACGGGCGCCTGCGGGGGGACGCGGCGGCCGGGCCGGGGCCGGGGGCGGGGGCCGGGGCGGCGGCGGAGCCCGAGCCGCGGCGGCGCCTGGAGATCGTCTTCGTGTCCTCGGACCAGGACCAGCGGCAGTGGCAGGACTTCGTGCGGGACATGCCGTGGCTGGCGCTGCCCTACAAGGAGAAGCACCGGAAGGTGAGCGGCCGGGCCTCGCCGCCCCTGCCCGCCCCTCCCCCGCCGCCCCTGCCCGCCCGCCCCTGCCCGCCCCCCGCTGACTGCCCGCCCCGCCGTCCCCCGCCCTCCCCTACTGTCCACCGCCCCCGCCCCGCTTACCCCCGCTCCCCGAACCCCACTGTCCCCCTGCCCTTCCCCCGCTGACCCCTGCCCCCCCACTCCGCGCTGTGTCCGCGCCCTCATCCCCAGGACCAGTCTCTGGCTCAGGGGTACCGCGGCAACTCCTCGATGCGGGCCTCCCTAGGCCCCCGGGACCCCGGCTCGAGTCTCCCCCCACCCCCCGTCCACTCGCGTTGGGAGCCTCGGGTAGGGGCGGCTGCGCTCGGGGGCGCGGGTTCCGAGATCTCTTCACCCCTAGCAGAGGCGCCGGGAGGGAGGGGTCCCTTTCCTCCTTCGCCAACCCCCGGGTCCCCACTGTGGGGAGGGGAGAGGAGGCCGCGCGCCCCCCGCCCGCAGTTCCGGGAGCGGGAAGTTTCCTCCCGAGAGAAACCGCTTTCTTGGAGCCCCTTCCCAGGGACCGAGGGGCCGAGGCCGAGGTCAGGCCACCCCTAGCCCCAGAGAGGCCGCCGGTGACCGTGGCTGTGGCCGAGAAGGGCGCTCGCCCATCGATCCCCCCGCGCGCCCCTCGGCTCAGGCTGAGTTCGGGGCCCCGGGGGAGCTGCATTGTCTCGCGTCCCGCCGGCCTCTCCGGAGCCTCCGGGCGCGGGAACGCGGCGCGGCGCGGCGCGGCCAGGGGTGGGCCCTGTTGTCTCCGCCACCTTCGCATCATCGGGGCCCACCGTCTGCGAGGAGGATTGGGGGAACGCACGCTTGGCGTACGCTCTCCCTGTCTCCCGGTTCGCTGCTGAGAGTCATTGGGGTCTGAGTGTCCCCCTCGGGTGCAGAGGTCTGTCTCTGTTATAGTACGAAGCGTTCAGGACGTTTTGTGATGAATGGAGTCGGGAAAAGTTCTGGAGCGCTGTTGCTAGTGAGTGTGGCTCGTGCAACGTGTGGATCCAGCCCCTTCCCCGTTTGAGGAAAGCCCGTTTCTGGAGTGGACTCTGGGGGCTACTCTGGGGGCGTTTAGCTTCCTCTGGGGAGCATGGTGAGGCTGCCACGTGTTCCTTTTATGTGAAGAGACTCTTGCTGAGAACAGAATTTACATTTGGTGGGAGCAGAAGCTTATACCTTGTGACCCCAGATGTCCTGAGGAAATCACCCATCCCGAAGCAGTGTAAGGTAGAGATTTAGGATTTAAAGTGTGACATACAGTTCGTCCAGTGCGGTTTGTACATTTCACGTGGGGAAAACACAGGCTCACGGCCCGTCCGAGGCAGGAGTTGGCATGTTAGCTGCTCTCTGGGTTGTCTTGCCCATTTTGATTGACGTGGTTGATAGATTATGAATATGCATGGCCACTACTTTTTGATTCGAAATATGGAATCCTTTGTTTTCCTTGGTGGTGGTTTTTATGATACTTTCTTGGGGAAATAATGTCCAGAAAGTGATTTACCAAAAAAAATTTTCATTGTTGGGGCAAGTTTCTGTTACGTCTATTTAAAATAGTGTCTGTATCGGGTGATACGAATGATTTCTAGCTTTTGAAAATAGAGAGTGATGGTAAAATATTACAGGCTTAAGGCCTGTTGTGTTATTTACTGAAGAGGAAATACATTTTTTGGTTAGTAAAAATATGGAGCAAACAGATGTTTTGCAAATGCCTGAAGCTTTTTCTGAAAAAGGAGAATATTTGATAGACTGTGGCTGGTTCTCTATACCCTGGACAGGCTGTTTGCATGACGAAGAGTATTATGCAGCCCTAGGTTGGACCTCTGATTCCTCCATGATGAGCTTCTGGATGACGTGGGATGGACTATCATTTGAAAATACAGTTCAGATGCTGGACGGCCCAAACCCTGGAGTGTTATTAGCATCTTAAACATGTATTTTTTTGCTCAGAGTTTTTCTGGCTCAAGTCCTATACTTGATTCTCTAAATCCAGTCCAGTTTTCAAGGAAGCAGTTTCTGCCCTGGGTCGTGAAGAAACCACTCAAGATCTGACCCCAGAAGCATTCTTATTCTCGGTGAGAGAGACACCAAGGAAAAAGACTCCAGCTGTCTTTCTTATGGAAAACATACTCTTGGAAATGACAAAAGCTGTGTACAGACTGTAAAAGGAAGTATTTTCCCCCACTTAAAACCAAAGAGATGTACAACAAATGCCTTCTCTGTAACTGAGTTATTGTCCCGTTTGAAGTTAGGGTGTTTAGAAGCCGATGAACTGGTGATGCTAATTTCACCTTCAGAGCAAGTGAAGAGCCTGGAGTGCCCCCAGGTGAGGGCACTGAACGGGTGAACGTGTGCCCCCCCCAGGTGAGGGCACTGAACGGGTGAACACGAGCACACCTTGTTGATGGACTCTGATCATGCCGTTGCACCAACTATAAAAATAGCTTTAGAGAAGGGAATTTTGTTTCACACTGCAGGGAAACCAGAGTTCCAGATTGCTGATTATTTTTTTCAGTTCTCATTAACATTTGTTCTTTCCCATGGGGGTAACAAAGGATATGGTTCTCATTAGCTATTGGCTGGCATTTTTCTAAAGAAAATTGAAAAATTATGGTGGGTAAGGAGAATGCTGTATGCTATTTCTTTTTTTCTTTTATTAATCTCTCCTTTATGTAGTAAAAGAGTCTGGGATGGCCATGTACGCAAAGCCTGCATTTTGCCTGGTTCCTCTCACCTTGACTAAAGCTGAGAAAACAGCAAAAGGAAAAAAAAATTACACAAAATTGTTCTGTTTCTGCCTGTTGTCGTGGTAGGCACAAAAGTAATTGAAGCTTAATGTTTTCGGCTTCCAAAACGCACATTCGTATGTAGCTGTGCAGAAGCTGTAATTAGATGATACTAGAACTTTGAGTGCGTTATAAGAATAGTTTTTATCAGCAAATGTATAATCTTGAAGTTAAGGCAGTTAGGCGTGTTTTACAAAGTAGGTTGGTAGATGGCTTTCAGATTTCTAAAGAGAAAGAAGGTGATGGGTGGTCGGGAGGGGTGAAATTTGGACTTTGGGGATTTGGTCTGTCCCTCTGGCTTAGTGTGTGTTTCTCAGTCATCAAGACTGGAGAGATCCGTCTCCAGCATCCACTTGAGCGTCACAGACGTGAGCACTGATTTTGGTTCTAAAGCCTCGGAGCTCAGCTTTGTGTGGGCTGGATCAAAAACACATGGTCGGGGCCGGGCGCGGCGGCTCAAGCCTATAATCCCAGCACTTTGGGAGGCCGAGGCGGGTGGATCACAAGGTCGAGAGATCGAGACCAACCTGATCAACATGGTGAAACCCCGTCTCTACTAAAAATACAAAAAATTAGCTGGGCATGGTGGTGCGTGCCTATAATCCCAGCTACTCAGGAGGCTGAGGCAGGAGAATTGCCTGAACCCAGGAGGCGGAGGTTGCGGTGAGCCGAGATCGCGCCATTGCACTCCAGCCTGGGTAAAAAGAGCGAAACTCCGTCTCAAAAAAAAAACACATGGTCGGTATGGGGGTGTGGGTGCGTCAACACCTGAGGGTGCAGACCACTGGCCTTCCTCTGGATGGTTTTGTGAGGCTCTGGTGTTGGCCCAGGACTTCCAGATGACAAGGGGAAGAGAAAGTCTGCAGAGTCGGAGGACCCTGATCCAGCATCCCTAGTCAGCTTGCTCCAGCCGGGGGAAGTGGAGTCTCCCTCTGGCTGCTCTGGGTGGTCCCTTCAGTTCAGATTAAATGAGAGGCTTGGCTGAGAATTCACCTGCATCCCTTCGGCTCCCTGGGTGGGGCAGCACTTGGTAGCAACCTCCAGGCTTCCAACTCCGCTCTCACATGCTTCCTTGAATGCAAACACTGTAGCCAGGAAGGGAACAGTTTCTAAGACAGCACTGTGTCTTTTCTTTGTATTCACTTTCAAGGTGGTAAAAGATGGCAGAAAGGTGCAGACTTGAAAATTAGGATTTTCTGCTTTCTTCATAAGGAGCCTGGACAGCCAGGACAGGCTCCTGCTGGTGATTATGTTTCTGGAACCTGGGTCAGTGTATTAGTAATAAAGGATAACAGTCCAGAGCAGGCCGGGCGTGACACCTCACACCTGTAAGCCAGCACATTGGGAGGCCAAGTTGGGAGGATCACTTGAGCCTAGGAGTTCGAGAACAGCCTGGGCAACATAGTAAAATATCTCTACAAAAAATAAAAATTAGCTTGTCATGGTGGTGTGTGCCTGTGGTCTCAGCTGCTTGAGAGGCTGAGGCAGGAAGATGGCTTGAACCCAGGAGGTTGAGGCTGCAGTGAGCCATGCTTGAGGCACTGCACTGGAGCCTGGGCAACCGTGCAAGACGCTGTCCTAGATGAATAAATTAATAAATAAAATAAAGTCACAAGAGCAATGTTCCCTGAGTCTTTTCCTTGTTCCATTATTTGTCATGTATTTTTTAAACATCATTTTTTTCTCTGCATAATAAGGCAGTCTAATATATGGCTAAAAATGCAGATTCTTTAGTCTTCTGCTTGAGTTCACACCCTGGCTCCGCCATTAGTATTAGCTGTGTGTCCTTATGCAAGCCGACACCTCTGTACCACAGGTTCCTTTTCCATTTGTAAAGGGGACATGATAATAGCATCTGCCTTGTGTAAAGGCTGCATGAGAAAATATCCACGTGCCTGGCATATAGTGAGCGCTCAATAAATGCTGTTATTTAAAGTAAATGCTCATTAAGGCGTTCATTTCATAGCTTGAACCTTTGGAGTGTCTCACATCACAGAACTGCAAAAGTGTCACGAGGTGTATTTTTAAACTTTTCAAGCCAGTGACTTACAAGCATACAAGGGGATTTCATGAAGGATTAAAAAAAATTGCCCTAGAATGGCCGGGCGCGGTGGCTCACGCCTGTAATCCCGGCACTTTGGGAGGCCAAGGCGGGGAATCACCTGAGGTCAGGAGTTCGAGACCAGC